TTGGGACTCACCAGCCAGTCAAGCATAATCTACCAGTTCCAGGCCAAGTGAGAGACACTCTATCTCAAAACATTAAGGTGAAGAGCACTGAAGAATGATACCTCAGGTTGAACTCTGACCTCCACAAGCATGTACACACAACATGCACCTGCCACACAGGCCAATGTGGCTCAAGCTGGAAGAATAAACAGAGATGGGGCTAGGAAGATGGCTCAGTGGGTAAAGGGTTTGCCATGCAAGCATGAGGACCTGACTTCAAATCCCAGAACCCAGTGTAAAAGGTAGCACCAGTAGCACATGTCTGTAATGCTAGTGTTCCTACAGGGAGATGAGAGGAAGAGACAGGAGAATCCAGAAACTCATGGACCAGCTAACCTGTTGTACACAGCAGGCAAACAACAGACATTCTGTCTCAAAACAAGGCAGAAAACAAGAATGAACAACCAAGGTTGTCCTCTGATTTCCACACTCTGCTGTGGCATATGCATGCCCATGTTCTCTCTCTCTCTCTCTCTCTCTCTCTCTCTCTCTCTCTCTCTCTCTCTCAGAGAGTGAGAGCGGGAGCGAGAAAGATTTAAAAATAGCAGAGAGAGGTGAACTAGGAGAGCAAGCTGGACCTAGATGGCATGGGAGATCATGGTGAGAAATTTGAGCACTCATCTACTTTGTGTAAGGAGCCACTGTTTTCTGTAATGCCCTAATACATTCTGCTCAAAGCCTTAAGATTGTCTCAGCTGTCAGTGGCAGAGGAGTTGGTACTGATGAAAATGCTGAACTGATGATGGACCAGCTAGAGTTAGTCATGCCATTAGTGAAGAATGGGAAGATTTGTATTGCATTGGTTTTTTGTTTTGTCTGTCTTGTTTTGATTTTTCAGAGTCTCTTGTCACCCAGGTTGGCCTTGAATTCATTATGTAGCCAAAGAAGACCACCTTTGCAAAGATAAAAGTACATAACCGGATCCTCCTACCTCCATCTCCCAAGCACTTTAATGACAGCCATGAGCCCCTAACTAAGCCTGGCTGAACTACTTTTAATGGACTAGGTGTCTAATCAGAACACAAGGCCTAAAACAAGGCTATCATCTCTTTACAGCTGAAAAACGCTGCACAGGCCACCGTCATCAGCACTACTGCCATTACCTCCACTTCTCAACAATGGCCACTCTCCACCCACTTCATGCCAGCACCATCCTGCATCCTTATCACCCCTGATCATAGTTGCTGCTGTGCAGGGCCCTTAAGTCACTTTGTAGATTAAAAATAGTCACACATTGACAGCGTCATAGGACTCACATTAAATCCACACATTTCATGTGATGCTGACTTCAATAAGAATCAAAAGCATTTCTCATTGTCAGGTGGTTGTCAGTGTTAACAACCAATGTGGCCATAGAAGAGCACACCAGCTGAATATTAGTCCTAGATTGAGAAATAAGAAATCTTCTCTGCTTGAATAGGATGAAAATTTCTGGTCAAGAGAACGACATGATCCCTATAGGGTCTCCTGAGGATTGACTGGCAGCTCTGCTCAGGATGAGAGAGGAGGAGGGACAGAGCAGAGGAAAGGGCACCTATCAGCAAGTTATTCCAGAGCAGGCCCAAGATATGCTGGGGAAGCACATTAATTCCTCCAAAGGGTTGTGTGTAGAAGTTAGGCCTTGCTTTAATAGAGGAAAACGATGCAGCCCTTCTTGAAGTGGATTTGTTGGAGTTTTGTTTTGTTACCAAGGGTACCCAGGGACTAGACCACTAGTCCACTGTCTCACATATGCCCCATGGGCAAACGATAAAATAACTATCTTGCTTCTCTTTCTTGAAAGAAGAAAATTTAAAATCCTGAAGTATGGGGTGGGCTAGAATCAGAGTGAGTTCCTGAATCTTTCCATGAATCTCTGTCACAGTGGTTAACCTGGGGGACAGGAAAGAGTCACGGTTCACAGAAAGAGTATTCACAATCCTTGAAAAGATCTTGAAGTGTGTCTTTCCTTATTGATGACTACCAGAAAAGATAGAAAAGAAAGAGGAGGGTGCAGAGAGGAGGAAAGGAAGAGAGGAGAAGGATGGTAAGAGAACAAACTGCAAGCAATTGCACAATTGGTACATCAAGATGAGGGGCATATTGATGACCACTGTGTTGTAGCTTTTATAGCTTTTGTGTGGTTTTGAAATATTTCAAAATAAAAAATGAGAGGAAATAATTTCCTAGTTTGATTGCTGTTCTTTCTGGGAATGAGGTGACCTTTGTTTTTCTGTAGTGATCATTTTAAAGACTCACTTTATTTTCACTCGTGGAAAGGCCTTTCTGTAGGTTCAGTGATAAAGTGGGCTCCATGTGTCAAATCAATGGACCAAGCTTTTAAGTATTTTGTGATGAATTGTGGCCTTGTTAATTCTTGTTTTAATTTGCCTATTTTAAAATAGACGGCAGATGCTCTCAATGACTGCAGCATACCCAAAGAGGAGAGTTGTCCGGGTATGTCCTTCCTATTCCATTATTATTCAGATACAGAAAACACTCAAACAATATGAGACACCTCACATTACCACTTGATGACGTGTTTTTTTGGATTTATAATTCTGAAAGTGTCTCTTTTGCTGACAAAATCTGATTTAACACTTCCAAATGTCAGAGCACACTTCACATTCCGTGTATTTCTCAGTTCAAAATACAATGAGGGAGTAAAAATACTTCAACCATCACAGCTTCTGCAAACTTGAAAACAATCCCACCCACTTTTCAGTGTCCAAGCACAATACTGCTTGCTCTGGTTTATTCACATCTTATAATATTAGGCTGAGCCATGTAAAAATCAACATTTTTTAGATTGAAAACAGATACTGACAGTTTCATATTCACATTAAATCCACCCATTTCTTTTCATGTTGATTTCAGATAAAAATGATTCATACTGGCTATTATATATGATTTTCTTCCCCAGTTAAAGCTTAGAGAACCATAGAGGCTCAAAGCATGTGTCTAAGATAAATGTAAATTCCTGTATAAACAAAAACAACATACCCAGCTTAGAGCATCCAAGAGTCTAACTCATTACATGTCCAGTCATTTCTATGCTGGCAGTGTTTGAAGAATAAAAAAAATTATAATCAATGTTAGCTGAAGGATTTTTTTTTAGCAGAGACATCTTTTGGTGTCCTGTACAAATTCTAGGACCACTTGGATAGCTTTCCCATGGATCCCAATAGTCGTCATTGGCAAAGTGTTTCACATTTTTGTAAAATGCAAACCGTGCTAAGAAGGTTGAAAGTCTCCTGAACAATATGCATCTCTTGGCAAACTGAATCCTTTCCCATCATTCTTTCCCAAATTACAACTTCCGATAGGCCCTGACAATTGACCAATCACCAATTATATTCTCTTACTCTCTCTTCTTAACAAGAGGCATTTTCAATTTAGCATATATCATACTTAAGTGCCAAATCTTGAATGTACCACATGATGCAGTGGAGCATAGATTATCCTAACTGCACTGAGAAGTGTTATAAGAAAAGTCTGTGAATAATTCCCATAATTTGACTCACTTACAGCATTAGAATATCTGTATTTCCCCCACAAGTGATTAGCGTTTCCTTTGGCTATTTTTCATTAATGTCTTCAAGTACTGTAATTCTCAGAACTATCATTTTTCCAGAAGCAGTAACTTACATAGGTTTTCTTTGGGAACCACATTCTTTTAACAGAAGACACAATATTGGAAGGACACCACAGCAGAGCTGCTCTTGTCTTTACTGCTTCAGAGCCAGGTGAGTGAAATGGAGAGGCAGCTGAGACTTGGGTTTGTTTACCTACAGAATTGACGTAACGGTTTCCTGCTCCGGGTACTTCAGATGTTCTCTATTTTGGTCATTATAAAAATAGTAGAGGGAAAAAGGAATGGCAGAAAAACATCATCAGAACGTCACTCAGAGAGGAAGAGGCATATAGAAACCAGAGACCTGTGGGGGAGAGAATGAGATAACTCGGATTATGGCAGCTAAGCTTCTGGAGAAATTCTTATGCCCAGTGAATAAATACTAGTTCTGCCAGCCAACTGTGTCCTGGTGTAGGGACTCAGAGCCAGGATGCTGGGATCGTACTGCTTGGGTCCAATTCCTGGATGCATTTGGGTAATCTGAGATAAACTGCTTCTCTGTGGGCCCCAAGCCACTTCTCCTGAATTTGTGTTTAAAATGGCATTGTATGGGATTGGGTTATGAGGATTCAATGTGATACCCCAGGTAACATACTTGGATGCTGGTTTTAATTACTAGCAAATGTCAACTATAAGAGTGACAGCTATATTTCAGTCATTTCTTCTCTAGCCTTCGCCGCAGGACTTTCAAACTCATGCAAACAAAGCTGCACATTGACAACAGCTTGGGAAGAGAGCTCTGAAGAACTGTATGAATTCAGATTAAACTAAACTAATGAGCTAACAGAATCCCATAATGACTGAGCGGTGATTACAGCCTCATTAGGTGCACCTGCAAACGATCAATGTCAAACTTCACAGCCAGGTACGGCCGGGTTCGAGTTATAGCTGTGTGACCTTCAACTACTCAGTTAATCTTCCCAAGCCTTGGTTTCCTGTCCTTTACAGAGAGAATAGCAATGCTTCCTTTGCAACACTGGCATAGAACAAACAGTAATAACTAAGAGGTTCCAGGATCATCGTAGCATCTGGGAAATGGCATTTCTTCCTACTCTTAAGGAGTCAGAAGATTTAGCAGTCAAACCAAAGTATCAACTTTAGTATGCAATAGAATCAATTCAACAAACCCTCACACTTTCTTTGAGATCAAAATTAGAAAGCTATAGGCATAAAGTAATACTTCAAAATATTTAAGATTTCTTTTGGTCACCCTGCTCTTTTTTCTATCCTAGACATGTATTTAAACACATTTTTAGTAATTCTTTGAGAATCTCATGCAATATATGACTATATTCACCCCTACTCTTCCAAAATCCACTACCCACCTCCCTACCCCCTTCCCAACCTCAAAAATAGAGACGTCTTCATACATTTTTGTGTCATCTCTGTGCAGGGGCCATGCTGATCTTTTCTGTATCATTCCAATCTTAGTGTGCGCTGTAAAGCAAGCATAGACATTTAAACTCTCATGATTTAAAAAATTTGACATTGAGATCATATAAAATTTTTAGAATTTTTAGGATTTTAAAATTCTGCATCAGGACTGGGGATGGAGCTCGATGGTAGAATACTCCTGCCCTGTGTACAGGAGGCCCTGGGTTCAATCCTGAGTGCTTTGCAGGGAGTGGAATATTTATTCCCAAACAAAGCCTTCCAAGTCTTCTCACTACTGAACCCTTGCTACTCATCTCACACTTGGGTTTTCTGGCAGACCTGAAACAGGTACACTAGGACTCAGACACCATCCACATAAGAAACAAAGGTAACAACTTAGTTTCAGAGAGATGGAGTAAGTTTCCTAAAAAGCTAAATATAGCGAAGATATTTATGTAGCCAAGTATTGAACTAAGTGCTTTTTTCTGAGCCAAGTACTATTTGAAGTATTTTTAAATGATTTTATTTGTTTTTATTTTATTATTTTATGTGTGTGAATGTTTTATCTGCATGTAAGTAAGTGTACCACAGGCATGCCTGGTGCCACAGAGGCCAGAAGAGGGCATCGAATCCCCTGGAGCTGGAGTTAAGGACAGGCGTTAACTACCATGTGGGCATTGGAAACTGAACCTGAATCCTCTGCAAGAGCAGCCAGTGCTCTTAACCACTGAACCATCTCCCTAGCCCTGTATTCTAAGCATTATATGTACACTATATTACTTATTTCTCAAACTATTCACAGAGGCAAAAATGTATTTTGTAGATGAGAAAAGGTAAATGAAGAGCTGTGCTGTTCAATGAGCAGCTGTTGGACACGCGAGGTTTTTCACATTTTAATTAAAATATGTTTTATATAATTTAAAACTCAATCCCTCAGTTGCACAAGCTGAACTTTTAAGTGTTCAGTAGTGACTATTGTATGGTCTCCTCACAGTGCAGAACACAGAACATTACCACACAAACTTTATTAGATAGTGATTCCTTAGAGAATAAAGATCTTTTTTTAATTATGTGAACGTCTGTCTGTGATTATTTGCACACAACTATGGGTGCCTACAGAGGTCAGAGGTGTCAGATCCTTTGGAGCTAGAGATAAAGGTGCTCCTGAGCTACCAGACCTGGGTGTTGGTAACTGATCATGGGTCCACTGAAAGCACAGTGCATACTCTTAACCATTGAGCCATGAGCCATCTCTCCAGTTCCATTCCTTAGATTTTAAGTTTTCACCTGCCTGTACCCAGGTAATACCCTGTAGAACCTGTACTCAATCAAACACTGGGAACATTATTCCTAACTTTTCCTCTCACCATAGCCAGAACTTAGATGTCTCAATACCCACATCAGTATTCTTTCAGCTGTCTGATTTTCTTCTTTTTTAATTTTTAAAAATGATTTATTTAATAACAACATACTTAGAAGAAGCATATCATTATTATTTTTATTTTATGTGTATGAGTGTTTTGCCTGCATGTATGTATGTGTATCATGTGTGTGCAATGCCTGCAAGGCCAGAAGAGGGCATCAGATCCCCTGGAACTGGAGTTACAGATAGTTGTTAGCCACCATGTGGGTGCTGGGAACTGAACCCAGGCCCTCTGCAGAAGCAGCTAATACTCTTATTTGTGAGCCATCTCTCCAGCCCCCAATTTTCTTCTTAGTTATATGATGAGCTTGCTGAGTTACATCATGATGATGATTGCTGATCAGCTTCCCATGAATACAATGAAAGACGTGATAATTTAAAAAGAGGAAAAGTTTATTTTGTATCACAGGCTTGGAGGTTTCAACCCATGAATGGTCTATTGTCTCTGTTGCTTTGGGGCCTGTAGTGAACCAATCCATCATGGGGAGGAGGTCCATCCTAGCAAGTTGCTCACCTCACAGTGACTAAATAATTTTAAATTTTTAATAAAAAATAAAAAAAAAAAAAAAAAAAAAAAAAACAGGAGAGAGAGAGAGAGAGAGAGAGAGAGAGAGAGAGAGAGAGAGAGAGAGACTCTGCTATCTTACAGCCCTCTTCAAAGTAGTGCCAGAAATGGTCTAGAATGTACCACTAAGCCCTGCCTCTTAATGCTTCTACCATCTTTCAATAATGCTGAGGACCATGTCTTTAACACACTGGCCTTTGCAGACCACTCCAGTTCCAAACTAAAGCAGTGGGATAATGATGATTTCATGAATCAACAATATTCCAGGAGCTCACATATCACTTCATATTTCTGTCATAACTACTTTCACACTGTACTAGTACTTAATTTTTAAGATATGCTTTCAATGAAATTTACATTTTGTTTAAAAATTTTGTATTAATATAGTAGATGACATATCTCTATTGCTTTATATTTAATTTTTTAAAATAAAAACAATGAAAATGAAATAATTTATAATATTCTAGCAAGATGCTAAGGGATTTTCATCTCTATAGGTGAGAAGAAGATTTGGGTGTTACATGGTTATTAACCATACGCTTGCATTAAGTTGGTATACTACTTTCTGTAATCCCAATCAATGGAAAATAATCAAAGGGGAAATTAATTTCTTACAACAGGGTTTGATGATATTCATTCATATTATAACAGACAAACACAGCCATGTATATGAACTATAACATTCAGACAACAGTTGCTTTGGAAAGGATGTGATTGTCAAGGAATGAGCATCAGGAAAGATTCACAATGAACTTTAAAAGTGGAATAAAAGGACAAAGGAATAGCATGTGCAATAAAGAGGAAAAACATGAGGCCTTTGGAGGATGATGAGGAAACAGCATGACTAGGACTGCTTTGGGAAATACAGCGCTGTGAACTGAGACATCATGAAGCTGAGTAGAGTGGATTCAACTTTTTCCCAGGAAGTGGAGGGGAGCTTCACTGTCACATCATTTGGAAAGTGAGGAGGACTGAGGTGCTAGAAACCACCACAGGATCAGAATGCTCCTGAGCTTCATCACAGTGCTTCATCAGCCACGAGGCCAAACTGAGACCCAGTGCCCCTCCTCACTCCGTATCCCTTTTATTAGGCCCAAAAAGTCTAGGCTTTCAATGAATCTCTTTTCCCAGATATAGTCTTAAAGTCCTGGGAGGATGTACATGTCACCACCTACCCCAACAGTCCCAAGTCTGGAAGTCTAGTGCAGGGCTGTTACAAGAGTCACGCCTAGCCCCTTTTAACAGGGGCAGAATGTGTGCAAATGGGGAGCCAGAACAGCATTTAGACTTTCACAGCTAGTGCCAGCCTCATGCAGTGCAGAAGGGAACACACATCTTGGTGTGTCAGGCTCAGACTAGGGAGTGATTCTTGAAAGCAAGTTGGCTGTGGAAACTCTAGCGTGTACTGCCTTGGTTTAAATAGTAATCTGCCCATTTGACCTCATTCCTTTCTTATTTATAAAGAATTAATAGTGAACTTGGGAGGTAGCTCAGTAAACTGTTTGCTGCACAAGCATAAGGACCTTAGTTCAGATCTGATGTCTATAATCCCAGGGCTGGGAAGGCAGAGACAAGAGGATCCCTGGAACTCACTGGACATTCAACCTAGCTAAGTCAGGGAGCTCCAGGTTCAGCAAGAGACCCTGGCTCAAAATCTAAGGTGTAGAACAATGAAGGAAGACACCTAAGATGGACCCATGGCCTTTGCATGCATATGCTCATGCACACACACACGCACCCACATACCCACGCCCCCCACACACAGTCCTGAATACACATGCATATACACAAAGAATTAATAACACCAGATGTGGCAATGCATGCCTATAATCCTAGCACTACAGAGTCCAAAGCAGAAGGATTGTGAGTCCAGAGCTATGTAGGAAGACCCTGTCTAAAATCAAACAAGTAGTAATAATCTCAGAGGATTCCATGAAGTTGTTGTTGATATTAGCTAGATCACAGAAAATATTTATAGAGCATCAGACTCCATGCATGCCACCTCTAACTATTATAAGAGAAACTCATGGAAGTCACTCTCTCATACAGTTAAGTGTACACACGCATGCACACACACAAACACACACACATATTCACAGATGTATCATCTAGGAAGTTCACATCCTGCTCCAATGTCTTGTTTGGCATATTTCCCACGTTTAGCTAAATTATTTACTCAACATCACTGCCCACCTCTGATATTGACACTTGGTGAGACTTCTGTACCTGGTGGCCTCCTCACTCAAACACTTTCTATACAATTAGTCTTTGCCTCAAGCCCACCAAATCCTTTCCACCTCAGGTCCTTTGCACCTGCTAACCTTTCCTTCTTTGGTATCCTCCCTACTCTTCCTGGCTAACTTTTATTCAGCTTTCAGGTCACTGACAGGCTTTTTTAACAGGGATCTAAATGAGCCATTGTATCCACCCATCTCTCTGACGCCTAACTGAATAAATTCATAGACAGAAGACAGAAGTCATTGTGTTCAGTCATTCTAATCTTGGTCATCTTTGTTTTTACTTCCTTCTCTCGTGGTTACTGTGTTTATGTTTAATTTTGAGGTGTTTTGTGAGCCGTCCTAATCTCATGCCCATTGAAAGTACGGGTGAAAAAAGGATGAAAACTCCAGCTGGTTACACCAGATTATGATGGAAACATCGTGAGACCCAACGCTTGATGCTAACATGCTCATCACTTGCGTGCAATTATTTTTCAATTTGAAGTAAATAGACCTATGAATAATTTTATAAACTGAATTTATTTCTACCCTAAAGATTACTTTAGGTTTGTGGCCATATTTTGATTTCTCTGTACATCTATCTACTTCAAGCTCCATGAAACTCAGGAATCAATTCTGTTTTGTTCAGCATGGTGCCACAGCACAGACTGCTTCAAAGTGATGGCAGTGATATCTGATAGTCACTACTAGAATCCATGTAGACTGCAGAGGAAGGGCACAAACCCACAGAACTACCCTGGCTTCAGGAAGCAGCCTCAAATTCCACTCTCCTTACTTCTGACCAACTGGCCACAAATGTCAAAACTCCCATTACTCTAGGGCTTGGTAATTCACCAGAACAACTCACA